GGTTCTGATTACCGCCTTCTCTCTCCCTCCCCCGCCTTCTTCCCCACCCCCCCCCCTTCAACTCTCGCGAGAACCTCTCTATGCTAGCTTAGAATAAATCGATCGGAACATGCGTTCACGCGGAATGGAAACGCTCGATTTGTAATTACGGCAAATCCGCCTAGGATGTCATTAAGACCTTTGGAAGTCGCAAAGACACGATGCTCTATTACGCCGCCTAATGATGTTAATCGGCGGCCGTATTTTACGAGAGCAGATTATTAATCGCGTACGCACACGACTACTCTCTGAGAGCGTATAATTTCAAATTCGCATGTCGTTAGTGATAAATTTCACACGTGTGTACGCTAGAGAAATTTTGATATCATCGGCTTCGTCATTCCGTTCATGGACAGTCGAAACAGTTACAATTTGTTTCCATCTTATTGTTGTAAAAAATCTATATAATAATGTGATAATGCGGGAATACACACTCATTTTCAAATTGCTCCGCCGATGCCCGATGTCTGACTGAATCTTCTCACTCGAGTAGGCGAAACGTAATGGAAATTGCTCCGTATCGCAATTATGCCGATCGTATATTATTATTTTACGTGCGGGAAAACACAGAAAGTGTGCTAAAGTTATTGAAATCTACAACAGAATGGCCATAATGGATGGATGACGCGCAAAGTGAGCTATGCAATTTTGAATTTTCTTCTGTTGTCGTTGTCTACTTTCTATGCCGCGTGTGTATGAACGAATCGTACTTTTTTAATCTTTTACATCAATGCCGGTACAGCCACGCAATTGTCATTTCCTAATGATTATTGTTCACGCAATCGCAATTAATTGTATTTTCGCGCGTAAGTGCCATGGAAAAACATCGATAGGACCACTGAGGAAAAAGCAGGAAGAAGGAAAGCAGAAGAAGCAGAAGGAGAAGGATTTGTTGCAAGAAGCATCAAACATCAACGGAGCAACTTTACGCAAATTTAATCTAATTTATCATTTACTTATTATTCGTTAGTTGTAAGATATATTAATTGTTTCTATATATGTGTATTAAAAACATTTACTTTATTTCACTACTGTCTTTTTCTAATATTAATTTTTCAAACCCATTTGCATTCCATAGTATTTCATATCGGGTGTTTACGATAATTCAAGTTCGAGTTAGTTTCACTAGGACCGAAAAATGAGATATACATAACCATCTAGAACCTTTATGATTTATGACAACTCGACGCTGTCTTGTATTGCTTGAGTTAAATTCATTGAATTTGTTGAGTTTAATAAATATAATTATATACATATATATATAATTATATCTATTAAAGAGGTATACCAATATACATACCAACATTATTTGTTTCTTTCATAGACTGATTTGCAGTTGACATTTTTTTATTACAATATAAAATTTGCTCTATAAACTCAACAAATTCAATTAATTTAACTCAAGCAATACAAGACAGCGTCGAGTTGTCATAAATCATAAAGGTTCTAGATGGTTATGTATATCTCATTTTTCGGTCCTAGTGAAACTAACTCGAACTTGAATTATCGTAAACACCCATCATTTTTATGTACTAAAAGACGGCTTTGTGAGATTTTTCTCCAACATGAGATCTCCTCGGAGCACTGACGGATTAAGAAATGCACGACGCAAAACGCTAACGCGATCCGATCGTATACGGGTACATCTCGGCGGGATACGCAACATGGAAACGCGTGTCTACGCGTGTTTCACACGTTTGCGCACAGCGGCAAAGATCAAAAGACGTTCGCACGTCGCAGCTTGGCGTGCCGACTGCTCTTCAGATTTCTGACACGTTCGTTTTCGAGGCACAGTTAATGGACGTAATGCGCACACATAACGTTTACGTGTTTGTTCGTACGGTTGCTGCCCGATTAAGCTCTTGCTCCTCCATGCGAGCGTAACGCGTCGTAAATATTCGATATTAATCGCGTCGCCTTGTCTCGGTTTCTCCACCTTCGTTTTGAATTCGCACCTCGGAAACGCAAATAGCCGTCTGCCCTCGTTCGTTTCAGGTTATCGCTCGACAATCGTCAGACCCGATACCACAATACATAACAGAAGCTCATATATATGGAAAGTCGTTACATATGCGTTTTTGTGCATTTGCTCATGGTCGCTTCTGCGAATAAACTATATACGGTGATTCGGAAATAACATTCTGAAAAATACTTCTTTTCTAAAAAAAAAACAGAAAGAAAAAAAAATCGCGAATTGATTTATTGAAATAATAATAATTATAATTATTTTAATGATATTTTATTGAATTAATTATATAATCCAATTTATTTGCAAATTTCTATAAAATCTATTCAAGAAAGCAAAAATTTACGATTGAGGTAAATGCGTTGATTCTGGGACGCCTTGCGTTCCCGTCTCTCGGTAATCGACCACATAGCGCGCGCGCGTGCATAATGTATACCGCATGTTACCGTGGAAGAGCTATGTGTAGTAATCGTATGCGCGCGTCCAGACTCAACACAATTACCACACGAACTTGCTACAGATTGCTTATTGTTCGCGTCGCTTCTTTTTTTCCGAAAGGATTCAATCCCTCGCCGCCAAGGAATTAACGTTGCAGTGGGTGATACACGAGTTATTGTACCTTCACGGACATCACAGCGTCGACAAGCAGCGTACGAATTTTTGAATCGCGCCGTCACTCCGGATGATTTTATTTATCGCAGCGTAGCAAGAACGCATTCGTCAGGTAACCGCGAGAGCACCCTCACAGTTCCGAATAATCTTCAGAAACGAATTCATATTAAAAATACTTAGTTTTAACTTACTGTACTTTTAGTGTTGTCAGCGTTGCCGAATTGCGGTAATAATTGCTCGTGTATGTGTAGTGATTTTGTAATAATGATGATGACAATTCGGGTCATATAATTTATGAATCGTCACGATTTGCTATTGACAATTTAAATAATTTCATCGATCATAATAATCGAATTCGAAATAGTTTCACAGAGTTTATTTCGCAAAACTGAAAGCAGGATATTGCATTACCATCTCTTTATAATTGCAATATTATAAACTATCATATATTTATTCTACTTAAAAAAAATAAGTGCTTTTATCTCTGTAGAACGAAACACTCGCGCACAGGACAGCAGATAACCGCAATACGGCACAGCTAATTTTTCGCATTTCTACGCTTTGTCTCCGCTTCTACTGGCTTAAAGCGGGAATTTAATAACTTTGCCGCGAAAATTTTTATGCTGTAGTTACTCCGTTATAATTAAAATAGGAGTAATTAGCACTTGTTTCAAGCGGATGCATATTGTACATAGAAATTCACTCTATAATATATAAGGAAATGGAGAAAGATATTCATTCATCTTTGAGACATGAAGATAGACTGCATAAAAAAATAATCAGCTTTAACAATTGCTAAATATTCTCTATAACAAATTAAATAAATGAATAAATAAATAAAAAATCTGTAATTAAATTTAAAAATTTGCAAAGAAGAATGTTGTGTAGTAAAATGAGCAATAAGAAAAACGTTTGTCAAATATAAATTGAAATATATTAATTTAAAAATTCTACAATCTCCATCTATTGTAAGTACTACAAACGCAAATTCAACCTAAACTATAAATCTGAGATTTAACACACGGAGAAAATTTTATATCAAAAATTACTATGTACGGTAGTAGCCGCGGACCATGAAAAAATTATAAAAATTTTTATCATGTTTTTTACATGTGAAACATAGTAAAAATTTTCGATCCGCGGCTTCATGGTCCGCGGTTAGGTTAGGTAATTAGGTATGTAATGCCGTACATAGTAATTTTTGATATAAAATTTTCTCCGTGCACATATATAACGATTATAACAAATATTTTCTTAACTTTTCCAACAAAATCCATATTATTTCAGAAAGCAAAATTGTACCTCTAAAATCTTTATTTTTAAACCTTACACAGTTTATAGAAAATCTTAATGCAACAAATGATGCAAAAATAAAGACTCGGGCACGAGAAACAAATTTCATGCTGAAGCATGCTTTCGGAAAAGAATCAAATGAAAAATGGCACAGAGTCGACGTAAACAGGAGAAATAAAATTGCGCGTTTTTTTCGGGAGATACGGAAACGCGGCGATGCACTCCCCTGATCGAAAACCGGTAATTATGCACCGGCATTGGCATGTGCGGGGCATAAAAGAAGACAGTCGATAACAAGGGAGCATCATCTTTGCCCGGAGCATCGAAAATAATGAAGGCGAGGATTGATGTCCCGTTCTCTGGATTCGCGCGCGTAATGTGTACACAACGAGAAAATTATTACGAGGTGTCTCTGTATTATAAAATAAACTATCGCACGTACTTGCAACGCAGTTACGCCGAGGAATAGGAGAATATTTTCTCCTTAAGATGACAAGTTATCGAATTTCGCGCAAGAATAGGCACTTAGAAGTTAATCCTCAATTGTAAAATGTATCGCGGCTCAATTTTGTTTTAATGTCGTAGAAATTTACATATTTAAGAGATAACCATTGCAATGCCTCGTTTCCAATCGTCAACCTCGACACTTCTTACAAATCCATCAATGCCATCTGAGTGTTTCAACGTCACGTATCTCTCCCGTTTTGCATACCGGCGCCTAATTATATCGTAACTCACTCGCGTGCAGCGAGTTACTCTCGATGTATCTTCCGCGAGCGCGCTTCATATTTTGCACGCAGAAAGCTCGTTTTCGAGCGGTATCTCAAGCCTGTGTATTATTAAAACGTAGAGTTCGATGCCACACAGGATGTTCTCGGCATGAGTCTGTAGTCTTGACATAATTTAAATAGTTTTACTTTCGAAAAATTTAATTTTGTTTTTTTTTTCTCTTGTTTTGACCGTAAAGATGTTTTCCAGTATATTCGATGTATCAATCATGTTTAAAGTGTCAGAATTTTTATGTACGCAAGAATGCACAAGTTTTCACAAATACATAAATTCTAAAACAAATAACAGCATTATTACTTACCCGAAATTCATCCTGATCACGTCGGACCGCCGGTGACATCGTCGAAGCGGAAATCCCAGGAAGATGCACGGCGGTGGCGAGTCATCCTCTGAGTTTCGTAAACGGTCCATGGAAGATTTGCTCCGAGGCTCAGGCCATCCTGTGTACAGAGTAGAGAAAAAGGATAAAGCTCATTATCAGAACATAGAGAGCATAAGAAAGGCGCCACGCTACAAATCATGGTGTTTCATAAAGAGGCGGGAGGCGGTGTGCGGAAGAGACGAGAGGAAGGAGTGCTGTTAGGCCGACTGGTCGCCTTAAACTTCCAGAAGGCTAAATTCTTCGCTTTTTTTCTCAACCAAGCGTCGCGACCAAGCTTTAATGGCCGTTCGTCGCCAAGCTGGAGCTTGTTAGATTTGCCTCGAGAATTCCTTTCAAGGCTATACAACACGCCAATAGTGAAAATATAATTATTTTTGAGAGAGAAGTAAGTTAAGCGTGATAACTATTTATGATCAAATTGTGGTAGAAAAATAGATAACACTTATTAATTTGCGGAAATTGCGTCACTGTCAAGATTGCAACATAGTATGAATAGTGTATCCATATTTAGAATAATTCTGATAACTTTCTACATATCCAACGGTATGAGAATGCTCGCATGAGAGTACCGATAGATTGCCATATTAAATAGAGAAGACAACTTAATGCGACCTAATGCGGAATATTTGCGTCGATATCGCGTTCTTTTATATGCGACAATATTCAAGTGCATTTTTTAAGTATGTACATACAATAAAGAGCTATCAAGTTTTTGAAGCCATGGTGCTTATAAATCTGAAATTAGTTATGCTGATGAAGTAATTTGAACAATTTTACATTTCTTGAGTACTTTCGATACTCTCGATTCTATTTTAACGACATTGCAGACAAATTGCGAATTATGTGCACATTTCGCGAACACCCGTGAAGAAATTAATTGTGCGAAAAATTGTAAAGTCGTAATTTAGTGTTATATTAGTGCTAATATTAAATTACTATTCGGCTAGTATAAGAAACTATGTATCTCTACCACGATTTTTTCGTCGTGAGACAGCCTGTGCGATCAATTGTATGAACAGCTGCGGAGAATGCGAGCGCGCGTTTCGTGCGTACGGATAAAAGCAAAGCCCTATGATAAATTTTAGCGGAAAAATCGATGATAAATACGTTCTAGCCCTACTCTTTCGTGTACACGTCGTTGTCTTTCCGCCGACATATTTGGTACTTTCGACTCTTTGCCCATCAAACAATCTTTAAACGCGTCATAGGTTCAAGATTGCATACGCAAGATTAACGCGCGTGCATTATGTCGTGTATCGAATAAAATCTTTTCTTTTCATATAAAATATTGATTGAGAAAATAATTTCCTGGACACATCTCGTTTCTTAATATTGTTCACGGTTAACAATTATTTCACAAAGAAACGACACTCTTCACGTTTTTCACCAATGTCAGTAATGATAATTTCAGCAAAATACAATCGTACTTTCGTACATCTCTCCGAATTTATTGCCTATATTTTAACCTTACAATTCTCTTAAGATTTACAATTCTCTTCAGATTGTACCATAAGAAATGAAGAAATAATAAATTTGTTCGATCAGATTCAAAGTATAAATGTGTGTGTGTGGTGGAGTACAAAGTACAAGAAATCATCAAATCAGGCTAAATAGTACTTTTCAATTTCAGAGCAGCGTTTCTCGTATTATTCCCTCGTCACTCACCGTCGTGCCTGTTCACTTAATCCCACTTAATAGAAGCAGCAGCAGGTGGGTCTTTTAGTTCGGACCACGTGGCACACATATCCTATACAAAAACCCTCACACAGCCCCGCGTACGAAAGGGGTTGTCGGTCTTGATTTGAAATCCAAAGATACACGCAACCACAACAATTCTATAGTATTGTAAAATCCCTTTAAAGGGAAACGTGACAAAAGAAAAGAAAAAGAACAGCACCACTGTGTGTCGTACTTGACGAGGGGGTGTACGATGCGAAAGGTTGAATACACGAAGGAGACGCGGAAACGTTTACGCGTGATCAAACCGTAGCTTCCGGCCTCCGCGTATACTCTGCAGAAAGAACGGCCAGACGTATGAGGCGCGCACGCGAGCACCCACGAGCACCGCCGCGACAGGAATGATAGTGGCGAAAGTGGGAGACCCTCCGGGAAATATATAGGTCCGTAGGGTGGTGTGGTGGTGGACCGCACGAGAGAGAAGGAAGAAGAAGGAAGAGATTCCGCGCCGCGCTCGCATCCCTTTGCGCTTCTCTCTTCAGGTTTGAGATTCGAGATTCATATATCATATATTTACGATCAATGAACAATAGCATTTCGCGAATACTTTTTTCAAATGTTTTCCATTTTTATTCAGGCGAAATTGATGACAAAAAAATTTGATTTTATTAGTCGGTTAAAGAAAAATCTTAATTATATTTTTAATCAGTTGATGAATGCATAAACTGTTTTATATAATAAAATACTATGTGAAATTTTATACAAAATATCTATTTTATTTTGAAATTGATATTATGGAATAAATTATATAATATGTGTGTGTGTGTGTGTGTAGTGAGATAATTTCATAATTATATCTCATATTTGTGAATTACTTTGGGAAGCATTTCTTTTAAAAGCAGTATTACAACATTCATAATAATGTTATTATGTTCTGTCTATAGAATTCATATTTTTCTAGATACACTTACGATATACAATCGTGCTGCAATTTCTCGCATTTTTTTCTCAAGAAATATCAGAGGGACCATTCAAGATGAAACCTTTCACGCGCGGACAATCGGAACGTATGCAAACGATTTCTACACAAAGCAGATGCACGTGTTGACTATGTTATCAGCATTATCGTGCTCATTTTACCGCTAAATCTCATCTAGATAATCGGAAGCATTGTTTAAAATGGCGTTATCTACGCGTTAAATAGACCGACGGAAATCCCGACGTGCCCCTTTTCCTTTCTGGCAGCGCCCTTCGCTTGTAGTTCAACGAACTGTAATTGTGGTACGAACGCAACAATAAAATTCTACCTACAAGATTAAAGTTGTGGCTTTTTCTTTATCGTTTATCGTCGTGCGATGTCGTAGTGTTGCGAGAATATAACGCCACGTCTTCTCTTTCTCTTCATCTTTCAGTTCGCCCTTTTTCTCGCTTTCCTCTACGAGTTGCGCGTTGCGAATCGCCGAGTTTTCTTTTTTTTTTTTTTCCTTCTTCTTTACTAACGCAACGGATCGCGCGTAAAATGCCGAGACGAATCGCGACGGAGCCGCGAGGACTGGAAGTATCTTATAGCATTCGAGCTATGCGATACAATACAATGCAGAACCAATTACATTAAGCGATTAAGTCTGGTAATTAACCCACTAGCAATCAAACAAGTATCATCCGCTGTGATGGGCATAGCTTTTTTTCGCTTGCAATATTCAAAGTTTATAAAGTCTTATTTAATTTCATAAAAAGTCAACTTTTTTTCTTGCAAGGAAAAAGATATTTAAAAAAATCATAATACAAATCATATATTACAAACAATCAATGTAGAAATAACAATGCTGTGAATTATAGATTATAAAATTGACATATGTAAGAGTAGAAAAGCTTATCGCAAAATTAGGAAAATACAATAAAGGAAAGGAAATGTTGAGATTGAAAATATTCAGTGATAATTTTTGCAATGATCTCTCCTTAATGATTCAATTCAGTGTTACATTTCCCGACTTAAGAGCAACAGCACTGAACAAACACACGATCCACGATAATTTAAGGAGCACTTTAAGCATTTATTTATTTTCGGTCGGACAGCATAATCCAACCAGTAAAGTAGTACGCAGTCTGCATTCTCGAAACAATTAAATATTTTTATTCACCGCGTAACAGATTGCAGCTACTACGTTTTATAGTAAATTTAAAACCTCCAAGATTATAGCTTGCAAACCAATGCAATTAATGTAATGTAGAACTCTTAATATATAATTAGTCCTGTTAAAAATTGAAGACAAACAAAAGATAAAATAAATAAAGAAACCAAACATAAACATAAGCAAAAGAATAAAACTCATATCATTTTTTAATTGAAATATGTCATCTGTGAAATTTACATTGTATAAAAAATCAAAAGAAAATAGGTATGTATATATAGGTATAAAAGAGATGATGTGTAAACAGATCGTAATCGTGAATCCCTATTTTCCATAATTTTACCAGGCACCGTCGAATTTGCGCCATTATGTGAATGCATCTCGGTTGGGCCTGTGCTAACAAAAAACCAGTCATGACGATTACCTGTCGAATGCCATTGTGAAGTGCGACATCCATAATCGTCCTTCGTGGTGGTCGGGATACCCGATAAAAGTTCAGTCACGTCGTGATTTATTAATTATAAAGCATTGTGATCCGCGAAGCCGTTCGCATAGTTGCGGTTTCACGGTGATAAAGCAACACACGACGCTAAGGAGAGATTTTCACCTTCAGAAATAGACTGCCGGCTGATCGGCGATAAGTGCTTTCGCGATTTATCTATTATAACACAGTGGCTTTCAATTTTGATGCGCGTGCATTAATGCGAAGTGTGCTTATTGTCAGTTAAATTTCCAAATATCAAATTCGAAAATTAAAATAAACAAAATTATAAAAGATATTCAATAAGACAATCAAAAGTATAATCAAAGGAAGAATTTGTATCTTTATGTGTGATAAGAAAAATTAAAACGATGACATTATCAGGTTCTAAAAGTGTGAATAAAACATAAAAGCTGGAAAGTAATAAATAATCAGAAACAATATAAACCTAAAATAATTGCTAAGAAGAATTGAGTAAAATAACGGTGAAAAGAAAAACTGAAAGTCAGTAAGTGGAATTGAATCTTTGGAGATAAATGCCTGTTTGGAACTGAAGTGATACCAAAGAAGCTCAAAGAAGAGATTTTAGGTGACAAAACAAACAAGAAGCATCTCACGAGGGTTCATTGTTTTCTAGGCTCAGATTGCAGCCCGTATGTTGGTCCAATAGCCTCTTAACTGATTATATCATATCATCTTTCAGAATTGTACTTCTCATCTCAACCTCCGTCAACATTTATCTACATGTTAAACGCGCACGTACAAACG